ATAAGTGCAATCCCAGAGATCGCAAATTGTCTAAACATGACAACGTCTGGATTTTGCTTTATGTGCTGGAAAATTATTCTGCTGTTTACTATTTTGGCTGTGTAGCAGTATTAAAAACAGTTGACTTCATTTACCAAAGTGAGATTAGAAGTCAGAGTCTCCCATCTTTAGCCTGATGCCTTAACCACTACAAGTCAATGACTCTCAAATCCTAATATAGTGATTAACAAATAATAATGGCTCTTCTGTCCCCATTTGAATATTGCCAGCTAGGAGGAATCTAATAGACCTTAGACCTTAGACTCTTAGACCTTAGCCTATTGTAAGGAGGCAATGTGGTGTAGTAATTAAGGTGCCAGACTAGGAATTAGGATACAGGTTCTGGATCTCTCTTAGGCTTCGTGTCAATCACCCTCTCACCAAAAATAGCATCAGGCTCTTCAAAAACCCAGCTGAAGAACAACCCTCTTGTTGCATTAGTATGCACTAATAATTCACTATGGGAACTAGACAAGCACAGGACAAATAAGAAGAATCTGCAATTAAGCAGACCAAATGCTAAGACTTTGTTCTGCTCTATTTCAACAAGACAAATTCATCTCCACTGCATATGACATCTTTTTAAATATTTGTAAATCACTATTTTATCTTCCCTTATTTTCCTTTGCGAGTTAAATGCACATAGGATTTGTGTTAAAAATCACTTAAGCCCTTTATTTACAAGTTTTATAAATTATTTCAATAGAAGAAAACTCTGAACAGTGTTTAATCCCCTATCTTCATTAATTCAACTTGGAACTGTTCAAAGTGTGGTTTAACTCACATAGTTTTCAGGTCCAAGATCAACAAGCAGCCAAGAAGTGTCTGTGGCTTTAGAATCTTGCCTGCTTCAGCAGCAGGCAGCGTCTTGTAGCAAGGAAATTCAATATGTATGATTTTGTCTTAGCCACAGGGGTTGTAAACCATGGTTCATGTACTACCATAACATAAGCTTACATTCACAGCTTAGGAAAGAAATTCACCAGAAAATTGGACAGTAGTCAGTCACTTTTCTGCAGAAGAAGTATGATATGTTAAGTCTGTCCTAGAGCAGCTGTTGCCAACCGGTGGGCCAAAGCCCACTGGTGGTCCATGAGAAAATTTTGGTGGGCCGCAGAGGAATCTCACCCCCAGAGCCCCGCCCAAAGCAATTAATCCAGGCTGCGTGGGAACACAAGGCTGCGCCACCCACATGGCCCGTGGGAACCTTCCCCGCCCACTCACTCCTTACCTGGCAAACTTGCCCGCTAAATTGCTATTTTTCCTCCCCCCCCCCAACCATCATCTGTTCTTGCTGTGCTGGGAGATTTAGATTAGCTAGGAAGCAGGAAACCATTGGATTTCTTGCTTTCTAGCTAATCTTTAGATCTTCGGTTCTGCTTTTAAGCACAGCCGTACCTTCCTTAGGACTGAAACTTCTATTATTCAGTTGCAGACTCAGATAGTCGATGGCAGAAAGATAGATCTCTGAATGAATCTGTGATTCTGTGAGCAACTCAATCTGCCTGCCTGCTTTGCCTGATTTTGAGTAAAAGTTGCTCTTTTTTATTAAAGATTCAATATTTACATAAATATTTAAAATATTTACATACAAGCCATGCCCAGCCAGTCACATGACCACCAAGCCACACCCACAAATTAGGTCACGCCCAAGAACTGGTTGTTAAAATTGAATCCCATCCCTGTCTCTGTGTGTGTGTGTGTGTGTGAGAGAGAGAGAGAGAGAGAGAGAGAGAGAGAGAGAGTGGGAGAGGGAGAGGTACGGAGGAAGAGAGGTTAAGATCTCTCTCTCTCTCTCTCTCTCTCCCACCAACGTCAGTCAAAATTAATATTAGTGGTCCCCAGGATTTAAAAGTATGAGTTTGGTGGTCCCTGAGGTCCAAAAGGTTGGCGATCCCTGTCCTAGAGGAATTTCTACTTTTATCAGCAGAATATCTTAGCCTGATGACTGGTATCTCTTAACAATTGAGATAGAAGACAGGATTGGCTTCTACCTTGGAAGGACCATATTCCTAATATCCCAACAGTTCAGCACTGAGGATCCCTCTTGCCTTGGGGCTGTGGGGAATAGCCTAGCCAATGCATGGCTGTTGTAACCAAAGATCACTTGCTAAGAGTTCTGTACCTGTCCTTTGGATTCTGCTGGACTAAGTAGGTAAGTTGCTAATTTTTTCAAATTAGCATAAAATTGTTCCAATCAGTGGTGGGTTTCAAAAAAATTTCCCTACCGGTTTGGTGTGAGTGTGCGCTTTGCACACATGCGTTTCAAACTCACCTTCTGCTGTAAGCCCTGTGTGTAAAACAGCTGATGCACGGCAATCGGCAGTGCTACCCGAAGCAGCTGAGGTTGAAAATCAGGAAATAGAGGTCAGTATAGAGCCAGGGCCGGTGGGAGGGCCCAGCACCTGATCATCGGGGCCAACCGGTTCTCTCACAGATGATTCTCAGAGCTACCAGTTCGGCTGAACTGGGCCGAACTGGGAGAATACCATCACTGGTTCCAATGCTGCCTCCCCCCTCCCACCTCCACTCAGATTAACAAGTTGTATCTTTTGTGACAAGGACCCTTAGTGATAGCCAGTCAGAGCAGGTAAGCAAAAATATTTTGTTCCTATTGACACATGAATCCAGGAGTGGCTCAAGGGAGGTAGCTGCTATGTTCTGCTTTAGGCGGTCAGACCCACTGTGGGATTTTGTAGTCTGCTGCATTTGGAAAGAAAGAGATCACAGAAGGCTGATCTAGTACAAGCACTTTTGTTGCCTTGATAGTCATCAAGTCATGTGTCATGTTTCCAATGAACTGTACAGCTTTCACACAAAAACAGAATCATCTGATAGAACAGGCTTCAAACATCACACTAAATCACTCTGTATTCATCATGCCTTTTTAATAAGGCTCAAGTGGCTGGGTTCCCTCGTTGCCAAAAGGCATGGATTAAAGTAGCTGAGCCAGAAACAGATGGGCTTATCCAATGTTAGAACTATACAAACCATATTATGGCCTAGAGTGGTGAATCTCTTGTGTTTATTTTCCTGATTTTTTTCACTGCTCTGGGCAACTAATAGGATGTAGCAGACTTGGTTATTTAAATATAATTACTCAGCTGTGTATTTATGAAACTAGGGGAAACTTTAAAAGGGACAGAAAACAATGAATTCTCCTTTCACGTATAGCTTATTTTCCTTTTCTTCCCTATGAATTGTTCTCAGATAAGCTCCAATAATGGAAATGAAATTTAATTTTACGGTCTGAAATATCACTCTAAAAATGCAAACACGTGCCGATGCTGAATTTGACTGTAGAGCAGGAAAATGTTGATTGCTTTAGACTGAAATTGCAATCTGTTGCACTTTACATGGTCAATTATAACTTCAAATAAAAAGTAACTGATGTAAAATCCTCAACACCCAAAATAAATCCAGCCTTTTAAAGTTTGCTTTGCTCCAATTCTATTACATCAAAATCTCACTATACAGTACAATATTAGTCTTTGTTATCTTTATTTTGAAGTACAAGATAGCCTTTAGTATTATTTTTGAAACCATTTGCAGCTTCTTAAGAATAATTCTGATATTATTCTATATCTTGTTCAAAGTTCTTTTGAAAACAGGATAATTCAGTGTTGATATTAACATCTGAGAATCTTTTTTGTATTCCTGGGCTTAAAAAGATACTGAAATTATGGTGCTAAAATATTGTGATTATTTTTTTAAAAGAATTCCAAAATAGAATTAATGCTTATTCACTAGATTATTGTTCAAAAAACGTTTTGGAAAACTGCTAGTGACAGAATAATGTAACACTGACTAAAGAAGGCCTTTAGGCCCAATGTCCTACTTCAGCACACTGGACACAAATCAGACACTTTTGTATGTAATGTACTGTTATAATCTAACCTACAATTAATAATTCAGTGTATTGCATGTATACAGAAAACTGAGAAAATCATGTAAATTTAATGTCAAATGGTGCATGTAAAATAATTTTTGAAATGATGTTAGCTTGAAGGTAACAATAGTTGATAGATGACTGAATGAGAAACGGAAGACCAGGTCTAGGCAATAAGCTGATACCGTGTTTCTCATATAATAAGGCTGGGTCTTTTTTTTTTTTGAGCCCCGAAAAAATGGCTAGGCCGTCTTTTCGGGGGTGACTTAATTCCCCCCCCTTGCATCTTTGGGCGGGCGGCGACGGCTTGGATGTTGACCTCGGCGTTGGTGGGGCACTTCATATCAGGGTCAATGCAGGCAGCACCATATCCGGGTGTGCAACAAAAGTACTTGCTAACGGCAAGTCCCCCCACCATTCCCCCATTTCACATGTTTTAATATAGGCCTTAATTTGGGGGGAGGGGCTTAATTTCATTTCATGCCTATAAAACATGCTGGGACTTCCTATTGGGGGAGGCCGTATTGTTGGAGAAACAGGGTATTCACATATTAATAAAGTATTGTTCCCCCTCCACTGGCAAGAAAAAGCATTGCATCTTAAAACAAAATTATCAGAATCACACAGGCAGTCCTCACCAGTAGCAATGAGGGACTGGCAACTTTGTTGCTAAGTAGCAAAATAATTGTGACCTCACATGGTCATTGCCCTACCTATATCCTTTTCAGTGGTGGTTATCAGGCGAGGAACTTAATGAACTTGCAACTTCAGGCTGGCTTTCCCATTGACTTTGCCTATCAGACACAAGCTGTGAAGGGCACAAAAGGCAGCCTTACCTGCAGGATGCTACAATCGTTGCAAATGTGCATGGCCTGCCAAGCACTTGAATCATGATCATTAACAACTTTGTGAGGGTGCAACAGTAGCAATTTTAAGGATTTGTTGCAACTCTCTATTTTCAATGCCATTGCAAGTTTGAAGTTGCTGAATCAGCAGCCAATAAGCAAGGACTACTATGTTGTCTTAGGATTGTTCGTATGTTTCTATTTTGAGAATAATTGATACATTTTCCCAGTTTTTCATAAAAGTTTAATAATACAAAATACAGGAAAAGCCATTTGTTCCACAGATACCAGAGATAGTCACTAATATGCTAACAATTGTCAGCTATATACACGAGTACAAGGAGCAGATTCTCTACTTTGGCCGAGGTTAATAGGGTAGATAATTAGCCATTTATTCAGATCCACACGATCCAAAATAAAAAACTTATGAAATGAGGCAATAAACCAATCTGTTCACAACATGGCTATTCTTTAAATAAGAAATGGCAAAGATTGCTCTGTCATATGTTTACAGTATACGCTTTTTTTGTACAAAACACAGCATTCAACATTTATTTCTGTTTGGAGAAATATTCTTTACTCTGCTTGACATCTGGCTTGATAGTGTCACTTCCAGGTTGCCAACCAGCTGGGCACACTAAAGAAAATACATTTTGAGTCAAAAACTGAGTTGCATGTTCGTAACTAGATCAATACCCCCAACCTTGCAGTACTAGAATTGTATCAGCTTATCAGCTTACATCTTAATCATAAAAATACAATACAGGTGACAGCTGCAACCTATTTTAATGTGTGGAAAAAGTACTAAAAATTCTCATGTATTCATATCTATGTATTCTAAAAATATTTTTTTGGTATGTAGACAAGATAGCAATAGCACTTAGACTTATACACCACTTTACAGTGCTTTACAGCCCTGTCTAAGCAGTTTAGGTCAGCATATTGCTCCCAAAAATCTGGTTCTTCATTTTACTGATCTCAGAAGGATGGAAGGCTGAGTCAACCTTGACCCTGATGAGATTTGAACTGCCAAATTGCAGACAGCCAGCAGGCAGCAGAAGTAGCCTGCAATACTGCACTCTAACCACTACACCACCGTGGCTCAAGATATTACTAGTACATTTTTTTTTGTTCCGTTCAATCATGTCCAGTTCTCAAGAACTGCCTGGACAAGTTCACCACAGTTTTCCAGAAATAGATTACCTTGCCTCTCCCCTACAGCTGAGTGAAAATGGCTGTCCCACATTCACCTAGCTGGCTTCATGCCTAAGGCAGGACTAGAAATCACAGCGTCTCGATTTCTAGCCTGATCCTAATCACTACACCAAACTGGCTCTCAGTGCATGTTCTGGCTAACCAATTCATTCCATTTCCTGCTTTACCAATATAAGCTGGCAAATATAAAGTTTTGTTCCCCTAAGTTTTGTATGGTGCTAGAGCCCACTGGAGGTTAGGAGGCCAATACATTTTTTAAAAGTATAACTAATCTCACCTTCTCCATTTTTGTCGGTAAACTGAAAAGCCTGAACTAGCCTGAGTGTCTCATCAACTGAACGACCAACAGGCAGATCGTTGATTGTGATCTGACGCAAGATCCCCTTATCATCAATGATAAAGAGGCCCCTAAAATAGAAAAAAATAAAGAAAAGTTAGTGCAAACACCAATTCAACTTTCTCTGAATTTATTTTTAGAATGCGTGTCACAGGAAATATCAAATATAAGGCACTCATTTCTGCATGTGCTATGTGAAACATTAGCTTCTTGCAGAATTCTCTAGCTTGAATAGTATTAGATAAGAAACCATAGGTGAGATATAATGAACCTTGCCTAATACTATTCATCAAACTTGCATTGCTCTCCAACCCTAGAAGGCAGTGAATAAATTAAAGACATAATACAAACACTATTTAAAATAACATTGAAACATCTAAAGCTTACATTCATCCATTAACCACTCTGTGCCAGAACTGTTGATATCCTGGCCCCTATGCACCTGTAGAAAAGCCAGGTTTTCACAGCTTTCCTACAAGCCAAAAGTATCTGCAACATCTGTATCTTGGGGCTGGAGGGATGGCGTGAGACAATTCCATAAAGGCAGGCATGATGACAGAGAAAGCATATTTCTGAGACCCCCGTCAGACAGCATTCTTTCACCAGTGGGACTCATCTATGTCCATCCTGCATTGCAGGAAGTATCAGGGATAGGTAGGTCTGCAAGTAACCTGGCCCCAGGCCATGTAGGTTTGAAAAGTGACAACCACCACCGGGAATTGCCTTTGAAAGTCTACTGAGAGCAGCATAGGTTACACAAGGTGTATTCAAATGCATTCACTACATACATACATACATATACACATACACACACACATACACACTGTGCTACTGTATTCTGAACTAGATATTTTCAAATGCTTTGCATGGGCAGCCCAATTTACAGCATACTGGAATAGTCACTTGAGAGGTGAATGACTATGAGTGACCTTGAGCAGTACCCCCAATTTAGGAAAGCGTACAACTGGCACACAATATACGTGCAAAGGTCTTGAAAGATGGAAAAATAACTAAATATGATGATTAGATGTACATGGGGACCCTAAAACTCATAGTCACTCAGCCTTATTAGGGTTGAGCCAATGTTAATACTTCCTATCTAGCTCATCCCTGCCTGGCCATAGGAAAGTAGCCTGAAGGCATCATAGTTATTCTGCTTTGTTCCCCCAAACTGGCAAGGAAAACCACTGAATAGAAGACAAAAAGTATCAACTTTACATCTATGATCAAGAGTTTGACAAGCTTACATACATTACACGTTACTTGAAAGTTATCGGAATATCACTTTTTTTTCCTATTATCACTTGCCAGTAGTTTTTTTAATATCACTATTAATATCTTTATTTAATACACTCACTAGGGTATAAAGAGTAGGCATTCATAGCTTTATCCTCTGAGAATTTATCTAATTCCCTTTTAAAGTAATCAAAATTGGCGACCAACCCTTGGAGTTTGAAAGTAGTACGTTCCAGTTCCACGTATTATATAAAGAATGTAAACAAGAGGCAACATTGAACCCAGTAATGTCACTACAACTCAACCAGCCATGAAAAACATTAGAACATGTTTATTAGATTTTTGCTCTGCTTTTACTTTTTTCAGTTCAAAGTGTTATGCTCTTGCCTCCCATTTTTCACACAACCCCACAAGAATGACTGGCCTTAAGTCACCTAGCTGGCTTTCATGCCTAAGGAAGTACTACAACTCATTCTTTCAGTTTTGATTTTTTCCCCTGCTGAAACAAATAGAACTCTGAGCAAAGTTTCCACATATTATAAGGAATTAGTTCACATTCCTTATTTACATACATTACATACATTCCTTACATAACTAATTCTTCCTACAAAGGGAAGCAAGAATTATTTTAAGTAGAGTCTATCTGAACTTGATAACATACACTCAGATTCATTGAAACTACTACTAGATAAACGTAGACTTGAAAACAGGCTAAATGATGACTGCATTTAAATATAAGTACTGATAACTTAAAACCGTGAATTACTGAAGATCAGCAAAATCTTTGTTAACACACCAACAATTCAATGGGAATGAATTTAATTTTTTAAAAATTATCTGAAGGGGGAAATAGGTTATCTGCTTGAAGAATACAAATTAGATTGTTACATTACCTGAAAGAAATGCCTTCATCGTCCTTTAGTACACCATAATCCTTAGCAATTAGATGTTTTGTGTCAGAAACCAGAGGAATGCGCATACTGCCTAGTCCACCCTGTTTTTTGGGAGTGTTGATCCTTTAAGAAAAGTTCAAGAAAGAATTCAAAAATTGGCATAGTTTTTCAAATAAATATTTTTAAAATGATCAATCACAACTGAAGCACAAATGTGCAAACATATAAAGTATTTTAGCAAGATAAAGCTTGCTGATGAAATCACTTCCGGGCAGTTGTTCATTTCACTTGCACCAATGTCTTCCAACCTGTACCTTTTCATCAAGTGTAAACCACACTTAACTCAAAGGTTTGCTTTGAATAGGAACATACAGGTTTCTACCATTATCAGAAAAAGCTCTTTGACAGGATGAAAGCCCCAAACCCAAAATTCTTACCAGGCTAGATGGCAAAAGTGAGAATCAACAGACACACCAATCACCTCACAATTTATCTTCTTGAATTCATCAGAACGGTCACTGAATGAAATAATTTCAGTTGGGCAGACAAAGGTGAAATCAAGAGGATAGAAGAAGAATACAACGTATTTCCCTAGAAAAAAGTTGAAAAGGCAGTCAGTAGCATGTAAACATTTCTTTCATACTCAAATTGGTATAGTTACAGCAAGCTATAATTACTAAGGATGCGCATAAAATGGAAAGCATTTCAAAACCAAACCAATGTATTCTACAAGTTCTGCCAGAACCATTTTGGATTTGCCATGGCTTGGCTGAAACAAATTCAGTGGTCATTCAAGGCCTTTGTTCTGTGTCCTTATACTTTCATTACCTTTGAGGAATTTCTGCCCTATATGAATGTATTAATCAGAACAAAGCAGCCTCAATTCCATTCAGAATTTGGACCAAAACTTCCAAAAACATGCATTTTAAGTCAGCCACAGATCATCCAAAAGCATGCAAGGCATACTTTTGCATATTCCTAGTATTAAATTCTGCATTCCAAAATTCAAATATTAGAGCAATTTTATGGCATCTCTGCAGATTTACTCATTGCCAAACAGCACAAAAGGTATCTGGTACAACTGAGAATGCTAATACAATTATCAAAAGTTGTCCTTGCTGCTAAGTAGCCATGTTAGTGGGTGCTTCATACACAACTCTATAAAACAGGCACTTATACTTAAAAGTATGCAAGTTTCAACACAAAAGTATCAAACTCCAGATAAGATAGTGTGTTATTCCTTCACTAACCAATTATGTTACATACTTATCAATTGCCAGCATAATTCAGCTGTTGGCTTTCAGCTGTAGTAACTAAAAGTCAAGATAAGTTAAAGCAGATGCTATCAATATAGTGCTCCCACACCCTTCAGTTCTCTGTTCTCTCAACATTGAAAAACAATCTGGACTTCCGGTTTGAAGGGCTTCGGTGACAGACAGAAATCCACGATCGTGCGCGGTTTCTGTCTGGGCTCGCTGCTGGCGCGCCCCGAGCCAGCTGGTTTCGGGACTAAGCCACCCCGTAGAGGTGGTGAAGAGGGGGGAGACCGCCAGCAGGGTCGAGGAGAGCCGCATCTCTCCTCCTCAGCTGGCCATTACTCCCTTTCCCGAAGGCGGTTGCAGCAGTGGTCAGAAATGGCCACCACAAAGAAGAACTCGACCGGAAAAGAATGTGCAGGAGGAAGATAAGAAGTGAAAGTTTTGGCTGACCGGGTTAAATTGTAAAAACAACAACTAAGGTACCCTGGAATTTAAACTTAAAAAAAATAACATTGCTCCCAAAGAAGAGTCGGAAGCAACGAAGGAAAGTAAAAAGGGAAAGGTTTGCCTTTTTTTTTTTCTTCTTCTCTTTCCTTCCCTATACTGACAACTAAGAGACTTAAATAAAAAAATGGAAAAATCCGATTTGACATCAATAGGCAATTAAGTTGAAAATAAAACAAAATGCCAAAGGGATAATAAAGATTTCTGGACATTAAAAACTTTCTTTTTCATAAGCAGGAAGGGAGAGAAAAAGAATAAGGGCAGGATCTGGAAGAGGGAGGAGACTGCCTGGAATTAAAAAGAATCTACAGTAAAACTTCAACAAGACTTCTAAAAGGTACATTTTAACTGAAACTTTGCAACTAAATAGTAACCCCAGGAAGAGAAAGTGAAAAAAAAAGAGCAAAAAAGAAACAGCTTGCGTGTATTTGGATTATTTGGTGATCTTTGGATTTTTGGTTATTATATTTGAATGACTAAAATCAATCGGGTGGTTGTTTAAAAATTTATACAATGGCACCACTTCTGGATGAATTGAAAATGGAACTTAAAAAGTACAAAGAAAATGCACAAGAAGGGAAGGGTTCTTTTGGCTTCGGTTTTCAATTCTTAGAAATGGAGATTTGGAACTATGAGAAACAACAAGAAACGATTGCAAAACAAGAAGACTGAGACAAAGAAGAAGCCATCTTTAATGAACAAGTAATTCTATGTGGGGAAGAAAAAGGAAAAGGGGGAAAGAGAATGGAGAAATTAAGAGTTAAAAAAACATCCAAAGAAAAGAAAAATAATTCAAAAAATAAGTATAATACTGGGAAGCAACAGAAAAGGGGAATACAGAAGAGAGAAATAGAGGTAGAGAGACAAGGGGGTAAAAAGGGGAGAGAAGAAGAAGAGAGGGAAGAAGGAAAGGAAAAGAAGTTACACAGGACCGGAGCAAGATATATAGAAACAGGACCTATTTAGAGATAATGGGTGAAAATCTAACTGAAAAAGGGATTCTGTAAAGGTACATAAGATTGTATTGTTATATTAGTAATAGAAATAACTTTAGAAAATTGGAAACAACATATGATTAAAATGAGGGATAAAATAGTGTAATTTAGTGAAATGTTTGTGAATAAAATAAGTGAAATAAAATGAGAAAATTGAATTAGGAAGGAACGGGAACATTTTAATTAATGTTTTATAAAATATAAGTGAAGAGGGGGGGAATTAACTATGGAAAGCTTATAATTGTTCCCATAGAAGTATATTTAATTGAAAAGTAATGTTAAAGATGTTAAGACTTTAATGAATATTAATATTAATGATAGAATTGAATTGGAATGGAATGTTGTTTTAATTATATACATTTATAATTTTTTTATTTTTTTAAGAATACAGTGTGTATTTTAAGAATGTACCAAGCAGAATCCGAATGGAAGTTATGTATTATATTGAATGTTATAACTTTAGGGAAAAAATATAAAGGCGTCATACTCCAATCAGTAACTTCAGGAGAAATTTTGTTTAATGAGAAAAGATAATAGATAATTGAAACAGGACAGACAAAAAAATATAAATACAATGATTTGAATTGAGATGAGATAATTAAAATAAAATTGAGAAAATTAAAAGAGGGGAGAAGCTATGCACAAAATGTAAAATAGTAATAAGATATGGAATAGAATAAAAAAATGAGCCTGAACCTGAATTTTGTGTCTGTACGAAGAAATGTAACCTGGGATTATGCTGCTTTCAAAAAAGATGCTTTACTTGTATTTTTTTTCTCTTTGTGAAAACTCAAATAAAATTTACAAAAAAAAACATTGAAAAACAATCTAAAGCCATATTTCTATAATAATGTGCTGAGGGCCACAATGTTGCCAAATAACAATCTGGATTTATTCAGTGGGCTTCCACTATCAATTAGATTCTTGGAAGCATCAGGTTCTTGTTTCTCCACTGCCAAATAACATTTGGCTGAGTCATAATCAGCATAGCATTTTGACACTGAGCAGACTTTCCAACCACAATTAATATCAAATAAAAGGAGAACTGGCTTGTTTTGCTTCTGGGGTTGTTTTTTTCCTGCCAAAGGCAGTAGAATATTGGCTCTCAGAACTGCTCTCCTAAACCCAGCCTTGAGACCAACTATATCAGGCAGAATTGCAAAGTAAACCATATTTAATCCTCTTCCCCACCTCTCTCTCTCTGTATATATATATAAAAAACACAAAGTATATATATGATAAAAGAACCAATTGCTACAATTACCTCATTTCACTGGTGAGACAAGCATACCACTTCTTCCATATTTATAGGCAAACTGCCTACTATATTCAGCTGGCTAATTTGGGCTTCAAGTGGACACCTCATCCATTTTCCAAGATACCATCCTATTTATTAGAACTATAATATATCCTGTTCAAAAGATGACGTATCTCATCTTCTGAACAGGATCTCAGCACTAAATATGCACACCTGCCCCCAAAAGTTGTTCTTTTAGACCACCATTCTAGAAGCAGTGAACTACTTATTTACAATACTTTAACATCCTAGATATATAGTCTTGTTTCTCATAGTTTAAATGTTGTTCCATGAACATGCGTAATGCATTTTGGTACAAACCAGTTGTGAGATGCTCAAACTATATTTTTGTAACCTTAAATAGAATATTTCAGAAGCAAAGATCCTGTTTTTTTTACCAAGATCCTATTTATCTACATCAGTGGTTCCCAACCTTTTTTTCGCCCCGCACTCCTAAAGAAATTTCACTCAAACCTCGCACCCCCTGAAATTTAAACTTTAGGAACTACTGAACGCGTTAAATATATGGTAGGATTGAATCTCTTCAGCTATGTATGTGACGGCCACTAAATAACGATACTTAACTCTAAAATGAAAACAAAGTTAATCCATTGCATAATAAATAAAAATGTCAACATATAGCCAATATCCTATTATTTACCTGGACTTTTCTCGCACCCCCTGGAATATCGTCTCGCACCCCCAGGGGGTGCGAGCACCCCAGGTTGGGAACCCCTGATCTACATAATGTTCTACAACATCACCTCCTCCAATCCAACAAGCTTATTAGACTTACCTTTGTAATCAGAAAGTTTAATATCTTTGAACTGCCCATCTGGCATTACTGCTGTGGCTTTGAAGTCTGGGGCTGGTTTCCCAATGAAAGCATTTCCTGATGACATTCTGACTGAAGCTTAAGAGAGAGAGAGAAATGATTAGCAAATGTTTTGCTGTCACCTGAAATAGCATTGATAATACAGCTGGCCAAACTATTCAAAACTTCAGAAATTTTAGCAGCTGAAATTTAAAAAGAAAAATGGTAAGCCTTTAAAAAAAATCATTCATGTTAAAATTCATCTATATACCAGCTACCCAAACTACAGATTAAATGCTTTTGTTAATACAGATTTTCCTGAATACAGGACAGCATTTTTTCTACATTCATCACCATTAACTAAGGATGAGAATATGACCTAGGAAACCATATATTTTAGCTGGCTTAATTCTTAAAAATGAATTTTAAATCATACACATGGCCTAAAGTTCTTTATACAGTACATCCTTCTGCTAATCTTGGCTGCATAGATTTTACAATCCCTAATCTTATCAAGCACAAGCTTCTGGCATATTTACCACATATTTTGAGACCCAGCAAAAGCCAAGCATTGTAGACAAATAGTGTTTGCAGATTCTGCTAACAATACCAATCCAATTTATATATTCAAGTCCTAATCTGTACCAAGTATAAAAAAACAATTAAATCTACATTACCTTTACCCAAAACTAACCCCTTTAACCTCCATAATCCTCAGGTGCTGGCCCTATTGGCCAGGAAAGAAAATGTATGTAATATATGTAAATATTCCCAATGTTACAAACCCTGGGGAATTAAGAGTACAATCTGACATAATCCAAGGTGTAACCAGCTTTTTATAAAAAGTTCACTGTGTACATTTGTGCAAGCTAGCCATTACTTTCTGAAACAATTCTAAATATTGCTCAATTCAGCAAGTTTTTTTTTAAATCTTAAAGGCATTCTTTAAACAATCCAAGTTCAGATGGATTTACTCTGGGGGGAACAAATTTCATTTCCCATTATGCAATTACCAAAAATTGAAACCCTTGAAGAGGAAGTTAAGTTTATGAATTGGCTTTCATCATCCCACGGCTGTTGCAAATTTTATCTCTCAAATTCCAAGGAGTTCAATGACATTTTTTTTTCTCCAATTCAGTTTGGAAAGATCGCAGCCTTTATCTCATTTTTTTTTTTTTACCCTTAACTGCAAGCACGAACGAACTTGCACATCGCGCTGACCTCCGAACTGCTGAAATGTTAACGTACCCAGCAAGTAAAAACAGGCTAAGTTAAAACTAAAACAAACCAACCCTGGATCTTCAATGAGAGAACAAATAGATGAAAACGCCTAGCAACCCTCCCCAAGGAGCTCCAACCAGCCCGAGTCCTCCGCTACTAGCCAGAGCACCTCGCCTTTAACGGTCTCCTGGTTTAAATAGCTCATTGTAAAAACCTCCAGCTGATTTCAACCGCAACATCGTTACAAGAAATGCAAAACCTTTTAGAGGTGCAATTTAATTCAATAATCTAAGACGCAGCGCAATCCGTGGCCCCAATGCCGTGCAAGTAACCGTCTTTCTGTGGTTTCAACCAGATTTTTTTCTCTCTTCCGCCCCCGCCCTGTTAAGCCAAGAAAGAGGCACCTGCTGCGAGAAAGCCAACAAAAACTTCCAACTATTCAACAGCTAAAGTTAAACCCATCGCTTTCATTATACATACATACATATATATATATATATAAAAGGTCTCCCTGCTCCTCCAACATGCAATAAAATATCACCGAAAAACTAAGTTTTCCTCCCCCTCCTTTGCTTGGGGAGAAGCTGTTCCACAAATCCATCCCCGGCTATAAAAAGCAACCTCCCGCCACCCCAGCTCTCAACCAGCTGCAGTTACCTAAAGCGAATCGAGAAGAGATCCCTGAGAAAAGGTCGACCAGTAAAAGCTAGAAAGGAAGCGCAGAGAGTTACCTGCTTTTATACCGTCCGCAATCTCGCGAAGGAAGTGACGCAAAGCCGGGGGATCCTATCGGTTGGCTCTTTTTCTTCCGCTCTCTTCCCGCCCATTGCTAGGAGCTGCAGCGCCAGCATGACTTTGCAAATTTGCTGTTCCACAGCCCTGGCCGTGGATGGTTGTCTAGTAGAGCATCAGAGTAAAATTCGGAGTGATGGGAGGATAAATGAATTAATAGAATTTAGGGCAGTCTTCCCGGCTTTTGGTGCTTTTTCCTGCGTGGGGGACGTTGTTATTTTGGCACTCTTATCAAATATTACTAATATGGCTAATTACAATGTTGCTAAGTCATTAGATGTCCCTGCGTTAATGAAACCTTGTTATGTAATCAGTGCACATCAAAATGCACAGTCATGAGGAATCGGCCTTTTCCTAAATAAAAAGGGACATTTGTTATACACATCAGAGCGTGCTTTCTTTCAAAAGGCAACTGGACTTTTTGCTACCTTTTTCAGTTCCGACTGAATGGTGGAGAATGGAAGGATTTATATGCCTTGCAGTCATGTGGTCCTTAGCCTCCTTTCTGAGAACAGTTGAGGTCACCTGGTCACTCCACCATTCAGTCATAACTGAATAAGCTTCTTGGATGAAAAACAATACGTCTTCTAGCAAAACCGGAACTCCAGTTGCCTTTTGAAAGAGCATCTTTGGGACAACCATGACTGGAGTGAATGAGAATCTCCATAGATATTACACATCAGCATTCTTACCCTAGTTTATAGTTTAGCATCTCATAATTGTGTTTAAGACCCAAGGCAATTTGTTTGGTCAGTTCAGGTGATAATGCTATCTTGAAAAGTATTTTACTAACATAACCAAACCTAGGCTGCACAGTGTGCTAGCAGGGATCGCACAACACATACAAATTGGCAATTATATTTAATCTTGAATAGTTAAAATGGTATACAAAACTTAAGTTGCTTAACCAATTGTAGTAGCCAGATTCACATGTAGCAAGCAATCTGTCTCTGGTGTCTTTATCCTTTATGTGGTGGGAAAATGTACTGTAACAGAGGTGGTATTCAGCAGGTTCTGACCAGTTCTGGAGAACCAGAAATTTTGAGTAATTCGGAGAACCAGCAAATACCACCTCTGACTAGAGATATTACAGTATCCTTCCACTGCAACGCCCACAGAACCGGTAGTAAAAAAAATTGAATCTCACCACTGGACTATAAGTATGGACTTAGAAAAGCTCAGCACAGTGAAGGATGAAATAAATTGACTATAGGTTAACATCTTAGACACTGGTGAATTGAAAAGAATTGGAATTCACACTTTCAGTCAGAAGACCATTCTATGTACGACTTGGAAAAGCAAGAAATAAATGGTACTGCTTTCATAATTGGAAAAAATCTAGAAAAGACAATATTTGAGTACCATGCAATCAGTGACTGAATAATGCCAATTGGACTTCTCAGAAACCGTTTGATATGACAGTTATTGAAGTTTATGCTTCAAATTCTGATGCAAAAGAGGAGGGGTTGATGAGTATTATGATCAAGTTCAATCTGAAATTGACAGAATATGCAAGTTTATGTTCTTTGTGATAGAGACTGATCTTCCAAGATAGGGAAATATAAAATATAATTAGATTGTATGGCCTAGGAAACAAAAATTAACTAGGAGAATGACGTACCAGTTTTTGTCAGTCCAGTTATTTCTTTACTGCTAACATAATTTATTTATTGCTAAGAATCAAAATGAAACCTAACTAAAGGTAGTCCTTCACTTATGACAATAACTGGGACTGGAAATCCAGTTATGTTTACAATCATAAGTGGAGGTAACCTGTTAGTGGAAGTAATTTTCCAACCTTTCCCACAGCAGTTGTTAAACAAACACTGTGGCCATTAAGCAAACCCATTTGTTTAAACTTGAAAAGTATCTTGAAACTTTTGTTGTAAAATGCAACACTTAAGCAACAGTATAGTCATATAATGTCTTTACTGAACTATACAAGTTAAGATATCAATCAGGGCACAGCCATAAATTCAAATGTTGGATATGTAGGAAAGGTCTATGGAAGATTCTCCCCAGGATATTGGGTCTCTACTCTCCTAGTATTTAAAAAATGATAAAATTGTATCTTCTTTTACCAATGTTTTAGTGTCTGTCTTAAGTAATTTTTATTTTTAGTTGCATTGATATGGATTTTTATATTTTATTTGCTGTTTATAAGTTGTCTTAAGTTTCAATATAAACAGAAGAGTGCATATCAATATGTACATTCCACATACATTCAGTAAAAACTAGTAAGCTATACAACATGGTTTACAAACCAAAATGGGTAGCACACTAAAGTTTTTTTTCTTACTGCTGAATTAAATTGCAATATCCTGATCTTAAATTAGTATAAAATTATGCTACTATAACATTCCTACTGCTAATCCCTATCTGACATTCAAACATGCCTTTGTTTGGGCATGTTTCTGAACTATGGCATTCTGGTTTTGTACATAATATGCAATGCAATTAGTTTGATTCTCTGAATTTGTCATCTATTTCTAAGTATCACCAACCAGTCCAAAACTGCTATCATTTAGGAGGGACTGGTGTACGTTTGGACAGGTGACTTCACCCACTCCTGCCTCTGTATAGCAAAACAAAAGAACTAGGATCTTCTTGTCAAATTCACAGGTTTCCTGAACTGTTTAGTAGGACTGTGGAGGTGTGCAGCTTTGAACAAAGTCAAGGTTTGGGGGTTGCGGAACAGCTCTTCAGCAGGCTTGTTTGGATTAGGCGTTCCAAACCACTGTTTCTCCTGTTTTCAGAGTGTACCAGTCTTTGAAAACCCAGCAGCTCCCCAACTCTTTCTGTGAGAAAGAGTGGTGGTAGAAAAGTGTCTGGATCCCAGATGGAAGAAATATCCATATCAGCCTGCAGTGGCTAATAGACCCTCAGTTAATCCAATCCCGTATGATTTATCTGAGAGTACTACCAACTGTCTGAGGAATCAAGCCTGTCAGATTTGACACACATGGGAACTGCTACTGGGTACTCTTAGCCTAAGAAAACACTACTTTTAATAACAATATAGCAAATAATGACATACGTTTGTCTCATGCATTAGATAAAGACAAAATGAAGGTAGCACCTTTATTAAATGTGTGTGGAGGAAGGTCCTAAGCCAAAACTTTAATGATTGCCATACTTCTGCTTTAGCTCATATTACAGTTAGGCTTCCCAATCTGCATATTTTCTATTGAAATTTCAATTGTATTTGTTTCATTTTATGTGTAAGCTATTACAAGCACAATTATTAAATAAACAGAAAATTGGTTGTTGCTATCAACCATTGAGTCATACAACGAAAAAATGTTGACATATTTTTTTACTACATGAAAACCTACAACCTTTTTTACTCCAACATCTTAGCTAGATTCATACAATGCTGAGTTATTAATATTCAATAAACTTTCATTATATAGGCCACAATTTTCTACATTGACATTTTGTATTAAATTAAAGCAAAAACTACTTTAATATGCTTCATCTATTAAATAAGTATGATTTCAACATGCCATTTCTCTCTTCCCTCTGACTTCCTTTTTAAACCATCCTGTCAAATAGTTTTGAGAATCCAAATTCTTGCATATTATTTTATGATTGTGAGTAGATCTAAGGAAAATAGGTTTACTGTAGAATTTGAACTTTTTCACCCTATGCAATGGAATTCAGTTTATGTTAAATTATTGTTAAATTGTTATGTTAAATTATTGACAAGATATCTGGATTTACATGATACACAAGGTCATCTATAATTCTATACAACTATGTTTTAGCTTAATGAATTGTATGCCAGCCTTATGTTTGTTATGGTTCAGTGTGCCATGAGAATCCAGTAAACTGAGAAAATCATGGTTAAATATTCCATGGTAAACCATATGTGCAAATGTATGTGTTATTTGTCTATAAGATCCAATCTGAGTCAGTCACTGGAACCAGAGGTTTATTCTTCCAAGCTTTTGGAGCCCATCCTCATGGAACTTCTCTTTCCAGAAAGTGTGCATCAGGCTATTCTACACGTTATATTTATATTGCGCCTGGTTTATTTTTCTATAAATGATGCAATTTAACAATGATGCGTTTAATGATACTTGAATCCATTTTTGCTCTAGCATCCATCAATGGGGTTAGTTTAGGGTTCAGTGTGGCATGAAAACTCTGAAGTACTTATTTTTTTCTGTAGTATTTTTTTTTCTTATTTGTTCTTCAATTTATTTTCCTACTCAACTTTTCTTTCCCTTGGGTCATGTCTCATTTGCTGTTATCATAACAGATATGTAACGCTGAGGTATAACAATGTGAAAGGCAAACTGGGATTTGCTTCTCTACATTTCAGAATTATGGATTTGGGCCAAATCCATGGAGCAATTGTGATGGTAGACTGAGAGTACAATAATAAATCATTACAGAAACAAGCAACACCTGCCCAAATCCCAGTTGCCTTTATGATTCTTCCAGTATTTCCATAAACATACACATACAAATTCAGTCAATGGTGGAAATATTATGACAAAAAATCTTGTTACTGAAACAGCAGTGGAATAAAAAAAGTGGATTAACATTAAACAAGTCAGGAGGCTGAACAAGCTATATAGTGTATTCTTGGAGTGTTTACATAAAAATAAGATATATGACATTAAGTGATTCTTCGTTCCAAATAAGTACACACAGGAGTTGAAAAAAGTAATGTTGGAAGCAAGTTGAAATGCTTTTGCCCTGATTCAGCAACTCTTCTTATGGATTCTGTTGCAATATTTAAGTTTCTGGAAATAAGCTATTTTAAAAATACAATACAGAATATGTTACCTGATCTTTTGGGGTTAATGTTTAACTTTAATATAAATTTTATAATTGCAAAAATGAAAGAGATGCATTAATCAATAACAATTAATTTCAAAGTCCAGCTAGACTATGCTAAGAAGTATGTGAAATA